GAGCAGAGTGCCGCTCAGAGCGATCCTCTCGATGACGAACGTACCGCAACATAAATTAGCTCGCTGGTTGGTTAATATGCACTCTCTGCTAAAAGCTCAGTTTAATCTATATGGCTTCAAAGATTCCTTCGAGTTTGTCGAAGATCTGGATAAAATGAACTTGTCCGATAAGGTGATGTGTTCCTTAGATGTGGAATCTTTGTTTACTAACGTACCTCTACACCAAACCGTTGACTACATCTGCGAACTAGCAGAAAGTTCCGAATGTCGGTTGCCGATTCCAGTTGAATTCTTAAGAGAATCATTACTTCTATGCACAGAGAATGTCGATTTCCACTTCCGAAACATACCGTATCGCCAAATTGATGAGGTAGCCATGGGTAGCCCACTGGGTCCCATACTAGCGGATTTCTTCAATTGATGACAGAACGAAACCTATCCGAAGAAATAGCGCAGTTACCCTATTACAAACGTTACGTGGACCATATCTTGGTGTTCAGTTCAACAGAACTGAAGATCGCACAGCTAGTGACGCGTTGTAACTCCTCGAATGTCAATTTGAGGGTATCCTGCGAAGTCGAACAACAGAACTCTCCTCCATATTTGCAGGTTCCTATCAGCCGCAAGGAGCACAGACTGGTAAAAAGTAAAACACTGGGTTACCTTCAGCCATTTTGTTAAGGCAGAGAGAAGACAGAGGTTGCGATATGTCAACATTTCGATTGTTCTCTTCAGTCACAAACACAATACGAGCAGAAACACACAAGGGATTATATACACGGAAAAAATAAGCACTACCAATCAATATGTCACAGGCAAGACCATGGTAACCGAATTGATTGCCACAAGCGTTTCTGTGCACATAACACAGGCTGATAGACCTTAAGTAACAAGGCCTCACTAATTGCCAGCATTATCGGGTTTTTGTTACGTAATAACACTTTGAACGCTGTCTCGAGTTGTACGTGATGACGGGTTGTCATGAGGTGCTTGGTGATAGACGATGCCGGGCACCGATTGATTCTCAGATTTGTCCCATTTTCTTGCGTAGTAACTTTTCCAAACCCCTTTGACAAATGTTCAGCTACCCCCTGAGCTAACTGACGGTTTGTTCTGCCTATGTAAATGTCACCGTAACCGCAGGTGAACTGATAAACAACATGAGAGTGCAAACTACCCCACAAGATGCTCTGACGGTTATGAAGAACAATTCTTCGCGTGACATACCTGAGTCGCAACTGGGCTGTCGTGTAGGTGCGCGTTAGGGCGGACCGGAGCTTACGTCCGATATCATTTACCACATGTTCTCTTTGAACGGGAAAAACAAATGAACCTTTTTTCTCAGCCGTCAACACCGGTGTTTTCACCCTGGAAGGTCTACTGTGTACTTGAATAAACTTCTCAGGATATCCATTAGGAATTTAGGACTTGCGTATGAATTCTTCTTCGACTTGTAACGTTTCGTGGCTGCAAATACGTCTAGCCCGAGAGAAGAGATTTTCCACTAAGCCGCGTTTGTATGCGATCGGGGCGCATCTCGACGCCTGCCTTGAAGGAGAACGGAAATTTCTCGAGACGCAGAGACGATTCGCATGCACACTCCATGAGTTGCCGTTGGTTTGTCGATTAAAATTTGAGACCTTTTCCGCTGAAGTTCTCCGTCGCACGAGAGCAAAAACAGTGCGCAATCTGCAGGGTTCTCTTGCTAAAGCCACCAATGCTTCCTTTCCTACTAATTGCTTGAAGCACGTATACAATTTGTCCTCTGCTCAGTTCACCCGCACTCAATTGGAAGTTCTCTCGCTTGGATTGAAATACCGACTGCCGCCAAAAGCGCTGGACAAGTTCACTACGCAGGCGCATTTTGAGTATCTGAATGAACAGCTCAGTGATCTCTCGCCAAGATCGACAGAAGACGCGGTTTGGTTTCGGATGAAATTGGTAGACATTGCGAACCAGTTCCTGTGTACGCCGATAAGTCAGAGGTGCTGTCTGCGGTCTGTACACTATATGGCGATTAACGATTTGAAACAAATGAAGCACATAATGGTCTTGCAGCCGGATAAATGATCGGGCATTGTAGTAGTGAACAGGCTTGACTACATTTCGAAGATGGAGTCCATTCGGGGAGACACTCGGAAGTTCCAGGTAGATAATATACCTGAAAACAACATCCTGGTGGAGAAGCATGTGGCAATGAAGCTCCAGATCCTCCTGCTACATGGTTACATCAATGAGTCGCAGTACAGGCACTTAAAACCGACTGGGACACAGACACCTAGAATGAGGGGCGCCCCCAAGTTACACAAGGCAGGATTCCCGCTACGTCCAATTATGTGCACAAACAATTCACTTTATCACAATGTCGCACGATGGCTGCCTAAACTTTTATATCCGGTGCGTAAACTCCTCGCTACCTATTGCCTGAAAGACTCCTTTAAACTGGCTGAGACGCTGGAACAATTGTCACTGAGTGCAGAACTTATGTACTCAATAGATATGGGCTCCTTATTCACAGACGTGCCTTTAAGTGAGACGGTTGATAACTTATGTGATTTTATCCTGAGTCAGAATTTGTCTGTTGGCCTGCCAGTGGAGTATTTAAAGTATATGATTCTACTGTGCACCGAGAACATACGGTTTGAATTTGAGGGGACCGCATACAAACAGGTCGACGGGGTCGCTATGGGCAGCCCTCTGGGACCAGTTTTAGCCGACATCTTCCTCGGCCTGATAGAAAGGCAAGTTGCTGCCAGTATTAGTGAAGCGAAATTGTACAGACGATATGTGGATGACAATTTAGTCTTCACCAGCGGAGAACATTTCACCCGGCTGCTGACCGTCCTAAATTCGATTCACCCTAATCTGTCCGTATCCCATGAAGTGGAACAACACAGCTCCGATCCGCCCTAACGCGCACCTGCACGACAGCACAGTTGCGACTCAGGCATGCCACGCGAAGACTTGTTCTTCATAACCGTCAGAGCATTTCGTCGGATAGTTCGCACTCTCATGTTGTTTATCAGTTCACCTGCGGTTACGGTGACGTTTACATAGGCAGAACAAACCGTCAGTTAGCTCAGGGGGTAGCTGAACATTTGTTAAAGGGGTTTGGAAAAGTTACTACGCAAGAAAATGGGACAAATCTGAGAATCAATCGGTGCCCGGCATCGTCTATCACCAAGCGCCTCATGACAACCCGTCATCACGTACAACTCGAGACAGCGTTCAAAGTGTTATTACGTAACAAAAACCCGATAATGCTGGCAATTAGTGAGGCCTTGTTACTTAAGGTCTATCAGCCCGTGCTATGTGCACAGAAACGCTTGTGGCAATCAATTCGGTTACCATGGTCTTGCCTGTGACATATTGATTGGTGGTGCTTATTTTTTCCGCGTATATGATCCCTTGTGTGTTTCTTCTCGTATTGTGTTTGCGACTAGAGAGACCAATCGAAATGTTGACATATCGCAACCTCTGTCTTCTCTCTGCTTCAGCAAACTGGTAAAATGTTCTGTCTATCGAAAAACAACGTGGTCTGGACAATATCCGCATTTTAGCAGCTTTATGCCAATTCGGCACAAGCGAACGCTTGTGAAGGCTCTGTTTAGTTGCACCAGACGAATATGTTCGTCTGATTGTCTAGCCGATGAACTAGAACTAATTACCAACACGTTAGTTGCCAATGGCTACCCTCGAAAATTTATCCGGAAGCACAGCGAAATCCTTGAAATGAAAGTTACTGTACCTATTGTGACTAAGAAAAGGGTATTCTTAGGGCTACCCCTTAAGGGTGACATTGCTACTTTGAGGACCAGAAGACGTCTGATTTCCGCCACACAGAGCACTTACTGTGCTGCCAATGTTGTAATCATCGACGGAACTCATAAGCTACCTTTGCCTCCACTAAAGGAAACTCCACCTATTGGCGCCAAATCCCATTGCGTATATCAATTCGTATGTAACTGCGGGGATAGTTACTGAAGTGTTCGTCCCTCGTCTGAATGGACGCTTGATTCCCAATCAAACCCGAAGTCGCTGGTCCCCCACAGGACAGAGAGAAGACCGGATCGGACGAGCTGAGCAACAGGGATGTATTAGCAAATCAAACCGTTCATTATAAAAGTGAAATGGAAAGTTCGTGAAGGGTATTTAAAGCGAACCTGGAAAACTCTGGAAGGGTCAACTTACAGCCAATAAAGGAACGCCGCCCTCGCGTTAATTGGCAGCTTCTCCCAGTTGGTTCTCTTTTCGCCCCAATCAGGGCGGATGAGTTTGGATCGCCTGCCGCGCCCATTGGATCCTGGCTTGTTCGACTCGCGTATTCCTACCTAACAGTAACATAGGCAGAACCAATAGCACACTGAGTTCCCGAATAAAGGAGCATGTCACAAGATGGGTTCAAGACGGGAGTATTCAGCAAGCAAGCCCACTACGTTTGTACGTAGGCTGCCAGCATCTTCGATCGGCAGGCACTTATTGACATCGGGTCACCGAATTGAGGTCAACAAGGCGTTTAGAGTCCTGCTTCGCCATACCAAATCCCGGCTCCTCCGGTTTGCCGAGGCTATTGCCATTAATCTGATACAGCCAGTGCATTGTGTTCAAAAACAATTTTCGGTCAGCCTCAGGCTGCCCTGGTTGTAGAAAAAAGACACCCCTTTTTTCTCGCGTTTCTTTGTATGTATGTACCCACAAACTGTTATTTAAAATTACCGGTTATGGTTATCGGCACTGATGAGATGATACGAAATGCATGCACCTGCCGCACTTCGTCTTGTAACTGTGTTTTTCTAGTAATTTCTGTCAAACTGAATACTGAATACTGTATTATAGAGCAAGTAGAAATGGATTCTGTACAACGTATTGCATTTGAGTCTGTAGCTACATGTTAACCAGATTCTTCTATATTGTCTTGCACAGTACACCGTTTTCAGCCCACACGAATTGCTGCGTGTGTGCATATAGTGGATACCAAATCTTTATCTCTTCTCCCACAGCTATTTCCTCCGATGTTCCTTGGCACGGATTTCCCAGCCGGCCGCGCAATATCACCGTTCATCCCATTCTAGTGGTGGCAGATCAACTCAATCGGCTTTTGTCCGACACTTCTTTTACACGCAAGCCTTCGGTCACCTCTAATCTGCCGACCCTCAGAAGAAACGACTGTGTTCCCGGTGGAATATCTTCAACAGGGGAACACCTTGGCAAAGACCTAATCACAGTTTGCACGTTGGTCCTAGTCATCGGAGGCTCAGTATACTCCAGGTTTGTTGCGATCTGCAGCCCCCCCCCTCCGTTAACATTTAGTCGGTAGATACAGGAACAGTTTTTGTATGGTTGGGACTTGGAGCTTTGCTTTTATTTCCCCATTCTTGATCTTGGTCCTCTGTTGTTCCCAGCTAGCCACTACCGTAATGCATTGGAAAGGACTGAAAAATTTAATCCACCATTTTATATACCTAGAAGTGTTTGCTATTTCAATTCGGCGAAGTCGATTGTGAAGCGGAGCCACCTAAGAGTACTGGCTAACACATGTCATCAACTCTCACCGTATAACCAGTGTCAGCTGCTCGCAATCGGAGGCTTTCCTGGTGGTAATCGACTCGGTTCGCTCTGCTGCATGACCGCGGGAAGCGCGTTATGTTATCGTGACTAGCAAACACCGACTAACGAACACCGACTTGGAAATGGGTTAAACATTCTGTCCAGTCTGGCGAATAGGCACTGTTGATGAGCATCAAGCAGAGGACACAACTATCTTTTGCGTTTTATATAGCTCATTTACATAGTCTGTATCTCCCACCGCCCTTCGGGATGCCGTAGCTTACCTTGTCTAGAGGATAAGTTATGAATAAGTGGTTCCGTTAGTGCGCCACATCTGTACATCAACACCGATAGTTACCCATGCTTTTTGGATCCAAGATCTACAGAACTAGTTAATAACTCGTTCACGGTGCATCTCTCTCGGCTGAAGGTACACAAATACTGATGGATACCGAGTCAAATCGTTGGGTACGGGACACTGCATACGCTCCTGTGTGCATTTTGACCAGAGAAGCGTGAAATGACATAGGACCTTAGGGTCTATTGGCGGATATCTATCTAATTTCCTTGGTGATTGGGGAACGAGAAGAACTAGTTATATCCACTTATGCATGGACACACAGGTGGGTGCAGTGCTTACTTCCCTGCTTAAGCAGGCAGCGAAAGTAACTAGACGATACTGTGGTCAAGGTCAAGCGGGATGTTTTGAAAGACGCAATACACCTACTGGCGAAAATTGAAGATATTGTTTTCTTCAGGGTAAGCGGTAATCTGCAAGTTGTTTTGCAGTTGGAAGGACTTTCGCAGACAGTGTTCGCGATATTTGGGTCCAATGCAACAGTGTCAAGCAAACTGGAACCTCAGCTGGTAACAGGTCAGGGCAACGAGAGAGGGGTTTTTACCGGGAAAATATCTGATGCCTATTAACTCCCGTTGAATGGTCTGTGTGTGACTGGTATAATCAAAAATTTTAAAAAAACTGATCGAAAGACATCGGTGGGCTTACCGTGTTGCTCACAGTAACGGGAATGTAATTGGGTTCCTATAGATTTTTGGGAAGACAACTGGTACACTGTTCGCAGACGGTGTATCATCTTCAGAAGCACAAGAGTTATATCGCGTGAAGCAACTCAGTGGGTATACCATCGTTTTGCTACACTCGCACAAAGCATCTGGAACGTGATTCCATTGCTGACGCCTTCGGGACGAGAGAGTTACCTGCGTATTCCAACTGACTAAACTGCGCACGGTCAAGTTTGGCTTGGACCCTTCAGGTTAGTATTATGGCTAAGTTTCACTAGATGTTTGTAAGCTTAGTATCGCTGGTACCGTAAAACAGCTGACTCGAATTCATCTAAATTACTGGACAATAAAGGAGTAGTAGGGGGAGTTGAATGGTATAGGTAGAAACTCTTCACATCTAGACTCACTCAGACAGCCGTCACACGCCCGGAAAAGCATTGTACGCGCGTTTCATCCTTTCGGGAATCGTCAGCAATGCGCATTCCATCGGACCCTGGTAGGGTTCGAACCCGCAACTCGACTGTTGCCAGTCCGTGGTTGAGACCACTGAGCTACGCGGGACGGCAACGACCATCGTGAATAAGTTACTAGATGTGATATAGCACCGCTCACTATCCACTGACTTACACATTACTGTCGTGCAGAGGACAGGGTAGCCCCCTCACCAAGCGACGAGCTTATCAAACTTAAGCCGCCAATTAACTTATGGCACTATAAGCAGTTTGGTCTGCGTATTGATTACAGAGGAGTAGTAGGGGGAGTTGAATGGTATAGGTAGAAATTCGTCACATCTAGACTCACTCAGACAGCCGTCACACGCTCGGAAAAGCACTGTACGCGCGTTTCCTCCTTTCCACTGTGCTTTAAAGCTTTACTTGGTCAGGTTTCCCCAATTGACCAGTATTGTTGAGGGTCTATTGTACTTGTCGGGACTTGTCCCGAGTAGTACGTAGGTGCATTTTCGACGGTTTCCTACCGGTATGAATGTCGAAAACTACCGGGTAGGATAATACAATGTGTCTTTCTTATTGTTCATTAAGGCGTGTGCTCGTACTGTGTTAACTCATATAGCGACAAAAACGGGAAATCCTAGCCCACCAAACCCAATTGAAGTGTGTGCTGCGTGCGAAACGCTAGATTTGTTTCCTGCCTAACTGGCACCAGCCTGAATAACACAAACTAACCTTGGAAGCGTAAAATACTTTTTTCCAGCTGTATCTCAGACATAGAGTAAAACCAAAGAACTATTCACGTACGGATACCAGCTATAGGGTGGGTTTGTGGGAAGCGCGGTTCCCGTTGCTCAGGCTATTGCAGCTACCACTACCACCACGCATCGAAGTTATCACCTTCATTAGGGACGAAGCAGTCGCGATGGAATTGCTCAGCTAGGCAAACAAATCGGCATTTCGACACCCAACCCGAGGCACCAATATGTTGATTTATTGCAATCGAGGTATCTGTACCAACGATACGAAACCTAAACTAAGTACGTCGTACGAAAACTAAACTAGAAACTAGGAACAAATAAACCTAGACCTAACGCATGCTCTGGGCAGCAGAATACAACGTTTTATCCTGTAACCGTGGTTCTATATAACATAGTAAATACAGTACATGACTTACGAATAGGTTTTCCAATCGTAGGGCAAGAGGGAAGCAAATATACAGTGTGCGGCGGCGTGCGAGTATTTTGTCAGTGTCACAGTAACATAATAATATACATGACCTTGAAACGTCAAGCATACGTCAGTGATCGAGTGAAACGAATAAATATACGATATGGTAACCGATTGTACGACACAGCAAAGCAATGTAAAATGAGCAGAGTAATTAGGGAATAGAGATACCGTGTCCTCATGTAAGAAATCCAGGTTGGGGATACATCAAGGTTGCTTTTGGACTTTACAGTATCCACCACTCGTAGCTCTCCCTATATTACAAATTTGGACCCATAACAAATGTGTTCAACGAATGGACAGATCTGTGAGTTGTGTAATGCAAGACGCCCACGGTCTGTCTACGCATTGGGCATCCTCTGGAAGATTGTGGTTGTAGGGAAAAGCAGACTCAGGAAGACCGATTGCCATCAAGCGTGTGTATGCGCTGTGTGGTCTTGATTGCCGTTTTTCAACATATGATTTTGTTTTTAAACTTCATCATGATAGGTAACATCGTTATTTCGTCTTTCACACCTGCCCAACATCTTTTGCACAGCTTCAGGGCCAGTATGGAAGCTCGACGGCTCGGTATTCGAACTAGAAGAGAGAAAATAGTAAGTCTATCGCCTTACACCGATGCACTTCTTTTACTCGTTTACCCTGACTAGTTACTTTGTCAACGATAGCATGTGGTACTCAACTTCTAAGAGAAGACAAAACCTCCTATCAGCAGCACATCTCAGAAGCCTTCAGTGATAACCACAAACTGCTGTACAAGCACGTGGATAGCCTACGAAATGTGAGGAAAAGATTTCCTCCATTCAGAACGGCAGATGGCCCAACTAGATCGGCTGTGGAAGCATCAACCGCACTGCGGACGCAATATGCCCCCAGATTTTAGAGGCTCTTGCCACCAAGCGATCTTCCAACCTTTGTCCGTCTCTCCGCCAGTACTAACCCACATCAATTTTACCGCGGAGGCTGTATTGCAAAAGCTGACGTCTCTACGCAAACACAGCTCGCTGGATGTCGACACCATTCGTCCAGAGGCACTGGAAGCAGCAGAAAGCCAACTGGCAGGAACCTTAGCTCAGTTTTTCCAGCGCCGCTTAGACCAGAATCAAGTTCCAGCTATGTGGAAGCTTGGAATAATAACCCCGAGTCACAAAGATGGAAGCAGAAGTGATCCCTCCAACTAACGCTCAGTATCCCTTCTTCCTACACTCTCCAAGTTCATGGAATCCATTGTTGCCGATGCACTGGTGTGTTATCTGGAAAACTGCAACATCTTCACGCCTGAGCAGCTCGGTTTCCGTCGACAGCGGTCATGAATAACGAATTCACTAATCGCACGCAGTAGTTAGACTAAGTCAGCTGACGCTGGAGAAGGCGTTGATGAGATCTACTTGGATTTTGCAAACACTTTCTATCGTTTAGACCATCAGGTACTACTCTCCAAGCTCCAGCATTAGGTGATTGGCGACCATCTTCTAGGCTGGATTGCCAACTTTCTACTTCAACAACAATTAGTGGTCAGAGTTCGGCGCTATATATCGGACCACATACAAGTCGAGTGTGGTGTGCCGCAAGACTGAGTTCTAGGTCTACGTTTGTTTTTGCGGCTTATTAATGAGCTTGCACAGGGAATCGCTTCAAACTTCCTAATGTTTGCCGACGTCATCAAGATTTGGCGCAGGATGCAGGCGAACGCCGATCAGCATCTGCTTCAGAGAGACCTACATAAGATATATCAATAGTCAACCCAAAACTTGCTGCATTTCAACGTCAGTAAATGGAAGTGCTTTCCATCCGAGATCAGAGCAGCTGCTTCTACCGGCTCGAAACGAATATACTACAACAATAAGCTGTCGAACGTGACTTGGGTGTCCTGGTTCAAGATGACTTAAGGTGCTCCAGACAATCCGAAAAGGCCTCGAAGATTGGAAACCAACACGCCGGGCTGTTGCAACGGGCGTTTGGACAAATAAACAGCTCCATATTTCGACAAATGCTCAGTGCGTATGTTCGCCCCAATGTCGAATACGCAATTCAAGCCTGGCATTCATGGCTGGAACACGACCTTAATGCCCTGAAGCAGCCATAACGTCTGGCACCTAAGAACGTAATTGAATGGGCAATCTTTCATACCAGGAGAGACTGCAACGATTGGGGTATTCAGCGGACTCTATCGCAGAGCACGAGGTGACCTGATTATAGCATACTTGCTTCTGCGAGACCCACATCATGTGTGCCGCCCTTGACTGCGACTCAGCACCAATACAACCCTGAAGGGTCACACATTGAAACTCGCTGTACAGTATAGCCGTTTGGAGTGCCGCAGAAATTTCTTTTCCTCCGTGTCTGTCCCCCGTGGAATGCTCTCCTAGAATCGGTCGTTTCTGCATCAACAATAACAGTATTTAAGAGACGGTTGGATGACGTACTCCTCCAGTTACACCTTGTCACTTAGCACTATGTCTCTATCCTAAACCTGGAGTTTACCATGGATATATTTGAGGTTAACTCAGGCTGCTGTGAATCTACGCAGATTGCAGGACTACAGGGGAGCAAACGTAAGTCCCTATGTCATTTTTAAAGTACTAAATGTTTTATTATTAATATTATTATTATTATTTCCATATCCCCACCAACTATCCAACGGAACTTGTAAAGCAATGCTTTTTAACCCGTATAACTTCATTGTTCATCGTTTATTGATGAATAGCAAGATAAATGACTGCGTGCCGCACCTCCTTGACTTCTGTTGTTTTCTCTACTGATCTCATCTAGTTAATCAACATGAGTCAGCATACTGTATGCGAAAATCACGGAGGGATTAGCCTTGTTTGCATTACATCATAACTCCTCACGGGTATCATTCTCCGACAACTTACTGGTCCCCGTGAGAACGAAATCATTGAAAGCCAGGGTGGTTTCCGCCCTGGTCGTGAATGCGTCGACCGCCTATTTACTCTTTGTCAAGTTTTGGAACAGGCACATTCAAACGACAGACTATGGTGGTTTTCCTTGACTCAAAAACCACCTTCGGCTCTGTTTACCGTACCAGCTTTTGGCACTGCCTATCCATGAAGGGCGTGCCGGCTAAATTTCCTCCCATTCGTAAGTCTGTCCACCGTGACCCCCGAGGTGGTGAAAGGGTACACGGGAAACTGTCTCCTTAGTTCCCCACGACAAGTGGAGTTTCACCAGGATTGTCCTACATCTCCATTCCTCTTCAACTTTGTTATCGAATAATCATGAATGCCTTGTTTCTTTCAAACTCTATCGAAGTGGATGTTCTACCAGGTGACTGACTGACAAGCATGGAGTATGCAGACGACATAGCTCCTCTTGTGTCCGACTCAGTGGCTATGCAAACACCGCTGGTTAGACTAATGCGTAGTGCCGCACGCTTCGACATGCGCATTGCAGTTTCAAAGTGCAAAGTACTGCTGCAGGACTGGACCGGCAAGCCTTCGGTTTTAGCTATCACCGAACAAACACTTAAAGTGGCGAGTCTCTTCACCTACCTTGATAACTGTGTCATCTTTGGTGGTCACATCAATGAGGAAATTACTTCACCTATCAGCACTGCCCGTCTGACTTTCCACTCAACCATCTATTGAGACGGCGGAAATTCTGCCTGTCAGTAAAAGTTATGGTATACAAATCTGCGGCAAGACCAGTGTTACTGTATGGATAAGAGACCTGGCCACTTTGCGGTGAAGACATTAAACATTTGGCTGTGTTTGACCACTGGTGTTCGCGGATTGTTTCACACGTCTGGTGGGAACATCGGATGAGCAATGCTGAGGTCCGTCAGTTGGTTTTTGGCAAGAAGCCTTCTGGCGCCTCACTGGAGCGTTTACTGCATCTCAATCACATACGTTGCCTAAGCCATGTTCTCCGTATGCCCACTGACCGGCTTCCTCGGCGTGCATTACAGGCCACTGCTCCACCAAGCTGAGTGAATCCGCGAGGTGGACGATACATGATAATAGGGAGGTAAGAGAAGCCAATGTCCAGATACGAGGTCGCTCACAGGCTTATTGCGGAGCACGTGAGCTGTCTGCTGCATGCGAAGGTCACCAGCACGAGCGCCGAACAATGTTCGACTGTTTTGCCAAATTTGGGAATCGGATGCAAACTGATTGGCCAGCAAATACAAGCCCGAGTCAACGGGGGCTAACCATTCTGCCAAATATGGAAAATCCGTGGAACGGAATTAACTCACATTGGCTGAGAGCCAAACGCTTCCAAAATTAGTATGTTTCCTTCACCAATAAATAGAATTGACCTATCGTGTAGAATAGACTCCCTGTTTACCGAGACTTGGCCTTCTGTATCCCGTCGGTTGGTTGGGCGCCTGACTGAGTAATCAGGCGGTCGCAGTCTCGCAGGCGTAGAATAGCAGCAGTACGAAGGCAGCTTTACAACACATGACATGGCATAGAGACATGAACAAATTGACTGAGAAACTTGCTCAGGCGGGTTCGTGCAGTCTTCGTAAATGGGAGCCTCGGGATGGTTCACACCAATGGCTAGAGACCGTAGCTGACACGTGGTGCAGTCAGTGGCTTTCGTGCATTCGGTTTCTTGCATCTGTTTGTTAATTTTCGTCCCATTCTGTTCAGTTGAACGCACTTTCTTCTTGCTTCCATTTTCTTTACAATCTATTTTCCGTCAATCCCACTACCTTGCTGTTGTTATTTATTGTTAATTATGCTATATGCGTCGTAGCATTTCGGTGCTCAGCTCATCATAGTTGATCAGCTAAACTGAACTGAACTGAATCAGTGTGGTATCTCCAACCCATAGGACCTGCACGCATGCAATACTGTTGACCCATCGCTTTTGTACTCCTTTATGATAGAACTTCTTCCATAGCAACAAGCTGAAGGCACAGTGTGCTAGCAGTCTTTGTGATCTGCCGGTTTAGTGGTTTCACCCACGCACTCCTTAAGCTTCCAATAACAAAAATGCCGGATGGACTACTGCATAAAACATGGTTGTATCAACCACACCGTTGAAAACATAGGCGCCCATATATCGATCTCGACTGTCAACCGAACAAAATTTTTGCGTGATTAAAGCCAGGCTTATTGCTACATCATACTTCATGGTTGGCCAACTCAGGACATCTGAGTGTCCAACTGCGATGCGGGTCAAAGGTAGCTCTCATTTTGTTTGCTGTTGCTAACCGGACATCAATGACTCATCGACTTTCGATACGTTGCAGAACTTGTTCCATAATCATTCTTTAATTCATCACGCTTGTGAATCAATCTTTTAGTTCTAATTAACCGGCGTGTACTTGACAAGAACATAGTAAAAATTCATTTCAATTTGCTTATTATCGCGTGCATTTGAATACTGTCCAGTGGGTTCATAAAATCGGCGTTACATATTACCAACATGACTTAAGAGCGAAAGCTGTAGTTAGTAATGTTTATAAAACAACTCCACTCATAGATTCAACAGTGTTACTAATGTCTCGGCGGTTTGTTAGTGACGGAACTCATAAGTATGCGAACAGATTCTGCACACTTACAATCCCAGGCTACTATTGGGCTGCTGACATTGGTGTCCCCTGATTTAGTTAACCTCCGTTTTTCGACAGCACCGCTGAGGTGCTTGACCTAGGTTAGATAGAAATAAGGTAAGCAGAATCATTACTAATCAGCTATTACCAGTATGTCGATCAATAAGGCAGACAAGCCACCATGATCGCAAAGGACTGAATTAGCTCCTTACGATTTAGCCAAGTGGACATCGACAGGGCACAACCATAACTGGAGCAAAGGGGAAATGTGACTGGCCCATAAACCAGCAGAGGCCGAACAGATTCAGTCGATTTAGTTCCGTTATTAAAGCAGTGACAAACGGCAGCAATCCATCACCTGCCGTATTCTCAGATGTCACAAGTTAATATATCTTACGAACAGCTTGCCTATCGGTAGTTCCTAAATTTTGATCGTGGTCCAATGCTAGTTCTGTTTTTTTGAAAAGCTTTTCAGTAAGTATACACAGGAGCAATTTTCCTACCGTTTTTGAGATTGCCCAAAGGGGTTGGGCAAAATCTATTAAAACTTCGAGTCGATTAACAGAATTGACTAGGTAACTTGATGAACTTGAAGCTATCTATATATTGGGGTGGTAGGGCTCTTTGAATGGTTTTAATTGAAATCCGGCAGCCATCATGCGTTTGGAAAAAACTGCGCAGCATTTTCATCCTCTCGGGAATCCTAAGCAGTGTGTATTCTATCTGTCTGATCACTTGTTGTAGTCCCCGTAGCCCAGTACTCTTGGCAACTGGCTCGTAAGAACAGGGTTGCGAGTGCTAACCTTACAGGGGTCAGAAGGAATACCCACTACTGACGATTCCAGAAATCCTGAAGCGGATGTTCAGCACTTGACATATGATGGCTTCTTGACTGGGTTTACGCGTGATGGCCGTTGGTTTATATAGCAAGTCTAAACACATACCATCTGACAATCAGTACTCACGTAGTATCCGTATGTTCTCTACTCAAAGCGACTATTGTAGTGACACTGTAAGGGCCAGAGTGAATAATGTAGGTTTAAACCTGTCTGTGTATGCCTCGAGTGTCTACTGAAACTCGTACATCTTTGTGTTGCGGAAGAGGTCTAAGGTATCGTTACATGACCAGTCTTTTCCATGCGTGGACTGTGCAAGTTAGAAGATCCCGGTTGAGAACCTTTACCTTCCAACCAGACATCGTTAAGGACAACAAAGGTAACGTTGCCTGATGAATCACTGTCGCATTCCAGCTGAAAATCACAACGTTTTGAAGATTCCATCTTCTATTATTCTCCTGCTTGTTTACAGACAGGGTTATAAAATTTGATATGCCTGGAGTTGAAAACATCTCTGGCGTGTCGTTATTAGTCAGAACGAGAATCTCGTTGTTTACAACAGAGACCACATGGAAAACAAAGTAGAAATTTTTAAGGACTACAGTGCACATAACTAACTGTGCAGTTTCCGCACTAAGTTCGATATTGATCACAACAGAAACTGACAGCAGACCACTAGGATTACATCCGGAGGGGGAAGTGCACAGTGGTCTGCTTCCACTGAGACCAATACGCACTCGTCTCTTCGACTATATGTAACCCACAAGGGGTTGCTCACTAATTGAAAGTATGAAGTAAGGTATGCGCTTTATTTTCTGTTATAAAAGAGTGAGGTGATTGAATTGATGCGGCAAAAACAAACGAACGTCAGCCTCATGTGATACGCACGTTACAAGTAACCACATATGTGACTTCAGCTTTCGGATAGGAAACTATATTGTTGTCCTACCGTCAAGCGGACATCTAATGGAATTACGAATGTGCTCATTACTTCGACACCAAAGCTGCCAGAGTTGTACATATTGTATTAATCTCAGGTCGATCAACTAGTCCTCAATCCATTCGTGGGCACAAATGACGCCCAATCGTCATCGGGTGGACACATCACCTAGTTCAAGTTCATTTGAACTGAAACTTCCCTAAAGTGTTCTATAGCAGCGCACACAGTGACTATCATTGTACGAATTTATGTTCGTTTAGCCCAGCCATAGCCTGGGCTCTTCAGTTTTATGAAGTTTTGTTCAAGCAAAGCGCGCCTATTGTGAAACAGAGTAGCTATCACACTCGTTACACAACAATTCATGATCCTAATGATGGAAAGTTGGTTACTTCTTGGGGCAAAGGTGGGTCTTCCCTCTCTTGGCGGCCGCCACTGGTAGTTATTCCAATGGATTTCTCATATTCGGAAGTTGGTGATTGACATTAGATTCATTTGCGATTTGACAAATTGCTTGCTTAACTGTGCCTGACTCACCTCACGATATCTTAGCTGACCAGTGCAGCAGGTTTTGATGGATCCCATAACTAACCACACGGTAGCTTGGCCAAGAAGAACACGGATAAACGATTAACGGACCAGACACAACTGCTGATAATTCAAAGTAAATTTTGATTTTTCGTAATTCGATAGAGTTGTACAGAAACCTTTCTACTTGCTCTTAAATACAGTCTCAGTCTCAGTCTCAGAAGCGTTGTGTGTGCGACCGAAAGCCTGAGGAGTATTGAGGCAAATGTTTTCCCTGAACGGAACCAACCTATCGGTTGTTTTGTTGCTCATGGGCTTCCTCTATAGTATGACAGAGTCGAAGCATCAGTGGAGGCTTTGGCCTTTGGTGATTAATTCCTGATGCTGTGCTTCCAGTTGAAAAGACAAGGTGTTGCAGGACGCGTGTTGTTTAGCGCACTTTTTGCATTCCATCCTACGTGTTTTCTACAACTTTATTGTGTCTTCAGTTTTTCTTGCCACATTTTTCCCCTGTTGATGCTGTGAAACTACGCAGGGTGCAAGGCTATTGTGTTACAGACGATAAGTCCTTCCTTTGACAGTAAAAATACTACCTGTGTTGTAACATTTTTTGATAGCCCCACCAGACCACCCAACCGGGTTTGGAAAGCAGTGCTTCTTAATCCACATCAACTCATTGTTCACTGACCATTTGATTTAACTTCTGCACGTCCCAGAAACGACTACTTGCCGCCATCCCAGAGCAACGCGAACTGGATTTTCAGACCTCTCCAATACGTTTACCTGTATCTAAAAAAGGCAAGGACATCTCCGGGCCACTGCCGCCTCCATTTTTCGATCACAAGGAAGTAGTTCGTCAAGAAGAAGGTGAGCGATGAGCTTTGTTTTGTTGTTCCTTCTGTCTCTCTTTCCTTTAATTTTTTATTTCTACTTGTTTTCCAACTGTCGCTCACGGAGATTTTAAAACGCACCTCGAACCATTAACCATCTTAACGTCTATCGTGTTTATGCAAATAACTGCTGGACATGGCGAGCAAAGGTACACGCGGATCGACTGTTTACACGTCATACTTCATCCAGCCAGAGCCTTACATGTTAAAAAGCGGCTTCACTCCGCTCCGCACTTTGGATGACTGTTTAGTATTCTGTCTGAAATCGCACCTGAAACTGTATGGCAGTGCAAGGAAATACTGCCGGACTGCTGTGTGTCTAGGGGGTGCTTTCTCTATTAGTAATCCAAAGGCACTGACTCTGGAAGAGATAGCTGTCGATGGGCCATACAACAATACAGCATCCGGCTTGCTGTATTTACTTGAGCAGGGCCCAGCTATCACGCAGGCACACTGAGACACGTGTCTCCTACGTGCGCCAGATTTGGGCACAAGGCTAGAGATTGCATAACGATGCAATTATGTAGAATAACTGCGGAATTATTTTTCGTATTTGTCAAGCATGGTACTCTCGTCCAAACGCAGTTGTTTCTTCCCTACTTTTGATCCCCTAAAAAGTGGCTGATCTTAGCTCCCATCACTTCGTCGTATGAATTTTGATGTTATAGAATATCTCTATGTTAAGAACACCAGTCTGAGGCAAACAATTGTTTTCAATGATTCAATCAGTCAATCAATGATACAACCATATAAGGTTAAACTACAACAGGAAGCATAGTGATTGGTTCGGTGGTTTGTTCTGAAATGACTCAGTCAATGGTTAGACAGCGAATAGTTCGCCACTGTCTCATTCACACAGATCGATTGAGGATTACATAATCATAATGCCTGCGCCGATGTCAGGGTGACAGCTAGGCTGATGGCCGTTCGGCCAGGGTAGGGGCTGGAATATGCGCATCGCAAACGCCTTTGCAGTGTTGAGCATCCTTAACTGTGTACCTTTCGATTTGCTCATTGGAACCTGATAATTCACACTAAAGGCATTTGGGTGGTTAATCTGGTGACCTGATTCGAACAGACGAGACAAAATACCGCTTGTAAGAATCCCGGTGCCCCCGTTCACCAACCACTTAGGGCTATATTCCTTAATGCGACTTGTGTTTCTGATGAATCACGGAGAATGTTCCATGTCTTTTTGTTACTGGATTTATATACAACATCGCAAAAACCTTTAGTGCTAACCACAAACTGCTGTACAAGCACTTTACTACCCTACGAAAGGTGAGACAAGGATTTCCTCCACTCAAGACGGCTGATGGCCCAACAAGAACGTCTATGGAAGCTGCAAACGCGCTGCAGATGCAATACGCCCCCACGTTTCAAGGAGTCTTGCCACCAAGCGATCTACCAAGCTTTGTCTTCTGCTCACCAGAACTAACCCACATCAATTTTACCGCAGAGGCTGTATTGCAAAAGCTGACTTCTCTACACAAACACAGCTCACCGGGTGTCGACACCATTCGTCCAGAGGCTCTGGAAGCAGCAGCAAACCAACTGGCAGGAACCTTAGCTCAGGTTTTCCAGCGCCGCTTAGACCAGAATCAAGTTTCCGCCATGTGGAAGCTTGGAATAATAAGCCCGATTCACAAAGGTGGAAGCAGAACTGATCCCTCCAACTAACGTCCAGTTACCCTTCTTCCTATACTCTCCAACGTCATGGAATCCATAGTTGCCGACGCACTGGTGTGCTATCTGGAAAACTGCAACCTCATCACCCCTGGACAGCACGGGTTCCGTCGACAGCGGTCATGTACAACTAATTTACTAATTGCACGCAGTAGTTGGACCGAGGCAGCCGACGCTGGAGCAGGTGTTGATGTGATCTACCTGGATTTTTCCAAGGCTTTCGATCGTCTAGACCATCGGATACTACTATCCAAGCTGCAGCATTACGGGATCGGAGACCCTCTTTTAAGCTGGATCGCCAACTTTCTATTTCAACGGCAATTAGTGGGCAGAGTTTGGACCTCTTTAGCGGACCCCATACAAGTCAAGTGTGGGGTGCCGCAAGGCTGAATTCTAGGTCCACGTTTGTTTTTGGTGTTTATAAATGACCTTGCACAGGGAATCGCTTCAAACTTCCTAATGTTTGCCGACGATATCAAGATCTGTCGCAGGATCTAGGTGAACACCGACCAAGATGTGCTTCAGAGTGATTTAGATACGGTGTATCAATGGTCGACCCAAAACTTATTGCATTTCAACGTCAGTAAATGCAAGGTGCTTTCCATCCGACATCAGAGCAGTTACTCATACCGACTCGGAACGGATGTACTGCAACAATCAACTCTCGAACGTGACTTAGGTGTCTCTGGTTCAAGATGACTTGGGTTGCTCCAGGCAATCCGAAAAGGCCTCGAAGACCTGGAACCAACACGTCGGGCTGTTGAGGCGGGCGTTTGGACAAATAAACAGTTCCATATTTCGACAAATGCTCAGTGCGTATGTTCGCCCCCATGTCGAATATGCAATTCAAGCCTGGCATCCATGGCTGAAACACGACGTTAATGCACTAGAACAGCCACAACGCCGGGCATCTAAGAGTGTAATTGGAATGCGCAATCTTTCCTACCAGGAGAGGCTGCGACGACTGGGATTGTTCAGTGGAAGCTATCACAGACTACGAGGCGACTTGATAATGGCATACTTGATTCTGCGTGACCCACATCATGTGTGCCGCCCTTTACCGCAACTCAGCAGCAATACAATACTGAGGGGCCGCTCACTAAAACTCGCAGAACAATACAGGCGTCTGAAGTGCCGCAGAAATTTCTTTTCCATTCGTGTCTATCACCCGTGGAATGCTCTCCCAGAATCGGTCGTCTCTGCACCGACACTAACAGTATTTAAAAGACGGTTGGACGATGCACTCATCCACTTACACTTTGTTGCTTAACACTACGTCTCCATCCTACACCTGGAGTATACCATGGAATTATTTGTTGTTACCTGTGGGTGCTGTGAATCTAAGTGGATCGCAGGACTACAGCGTATCCAACGACAAGTCCTTATTTTCGTATTTAAAGTGTTAACTATTTTACTATCCTTATCATCATTATTGTTATGTTGATATCCCCTGCAACTATCCAACGCGACTCGTAAAGCAACGCTTCTTGACCCGTATAAATTTATTGTTCATTCATTGTTCATTGTTCAGGAAAGAGTAGATGACCGAGCGTTTCTAGTAGTACTCTCTTGCAAAGAAACATTTAATCTAACCGCTCCCACTTCACTTTTTAGACAAAAACTCAATTGCCATTTCACACTATTGTCATGCTGCATCGCATTTAAAGCGGTGAGCGCTTGAGCGCATGGCACACATCCTTCATCGTACGGGACTTGTTAGACGGCTGCTTTCCCATCCATGATAAATCACTGCTCTTACGACTGGACAATTGGTTAAATGGGTACACGAATCACTGGTAATTTGTTCGATTCGATCGTTTTGCGCATTTTACAAAAGCATTTCGGATTTGGAACTACGCTCAACCTGTTTCCAGTGCATGAAGTTATCATTACGCTTGATGGGCATGTTTGTGACATGATTGACAATGAGGTTGGGAGCAGACGTTAGATACCGGCGTTTGGGACGAAGACCATAGACGGCTTACGCGTTGCACTCACGGCTCCCCTCTCAAACATATGTACCTCATTTGGCCGAAAGGGTATTCGCCTGAGCACTGGTTGGCGGGTGAACCACGTAAGAGTAGACCAGGTCACGCTGTGATACAAAGGCCTTGACTACTGTTCACATTGACTCATGTGCAATCGGGGCCCGAGTGCCGTTCACGCATAATTTGAAATCTACCAGTATCGACAACACACCCCTGGGGGCAGCAGTTATGGCAGTCGTATCGCAGGGCTCGCTCATATGCTCAGTATCTGCGTGTATGCTCCCAGACCTTTATGACCTAGCGGGAAAAACTTGTAGTACAAATAGTCCTTTGGGTAGGTTCAAGTACATAGCGAGGAGGCATGAGGAGACCGCTTTGATAACAACTCCGACTCGCAAATCGCGCCTTCTTCGGCAGCCTTCGCCTTATCGTTCACCACCTACTTAGGGTCTACCTCATATTCACCTGAAGTCTACTCGTGCAGAGCAATTAGGATCCTCTCTCGACCTATCTAACGCGCTCTTTCGATCTATTTGACCGCCGCAGAAATATCTCTGTAGAGTCTACTCACCATGAAGTACGCCGTTTTGTCAATCGGCAGCTCAAACAAAGCCTACTCACTGAAGCCTGTTGGTCTCAGAGTACGTCGGAAATGGAGGGCGGCTCCCTCTCTCGCACTGCCCGCAAGCTCTTCCAGCTCATCCGACCATCATCATCAACAACAGTACATCAGTCATTTGAACTAATGCTTTGCTGCCATACAACCATGATGACCTGTGAAATAAGAATAAGAAGAGGGAGAGAAGGGGGACTTGCCTGAAAACCTTAATGCCCTAAGCAAATATTCAGGGTCAAGGCGCCTACCCCTTGTGTAGACAACATACCGTCACAAACAGCTGGCTATCATGCAAAGATAAGGTGCCATCGGCGAGACAGCTTCCTTGCGGCTTTCACTGCCCCGCGTCATAATCAGCCATTACCCCGCAGACAACTCTGCACCAAACACACTTTAAACAGGCAATCCAACTAGGAGACGGCAGCAGACGTGCCACTGGTGTCGGTTGCGAGCCATGTTCTGTAAAGTCTCGAGCCAAGCACAAGGTGAGTCACGTGGACTCCAGCCGGGAAGGCGAGACGGACCAACGGCACCCAGTCTGGTCGTCAGTGACTTCGTTTCCTGCTGTCAAGTCAAGTTCTGTCCACCTCGAGCCTTGCGCCACCCTACGCCTGGTAGACTGAACAAGGCCCTCTTGGGTAAGCGGTTACCAGGCATATGTAGCAGGTACCCGAGCCAACGCAACTTATTCAGTGCTG